AGAGTATATTGCTAACAGGCTCAAGGACATTTTGACTTTTAGTGAAGAAACTGGCTACTTTTCTTTGGGGTCTTTTTACCCTAACTGCCTAGCCAGTTCCTACCTCCTATTCTTATCACGCCATCCTCTGAAGGGGTTACCCAAATTGCCAGTAGGGAATAGGGATGCAGACTGCTCTGGCTTCTTCCATGCTGAACAGGGACGCAGGGTGAGGCAATTGGAGTATACAAAAGACTCCCAAATTGCATAATTCTTGTCTCTAAGGGGAAAAGAAAGTCCTTGAATCATGAAGAAACCCCTCTTTTTAAAGGCATACTATATTTATAAAATCCCCCATTCCTCAAAAGCTTTAAAAAAATATCAAAATTAGGCCAGGCATGGTGGTACACGCCTTTAATCCCAGCAAGAGGCAGTCAGGCAGATCTCTGAGTTCAAGACCAGCCTGATCTATATAGTGAGTTCCAGGCTAACTGGGGCTACAAGGAGACCCTGTCTCAAAAAATAAATATTTATAAAGTGAAAATTATATTAGGAAGGGAATAAATAAAACCATAAAACAATCACAATTTCAAATTCTGTTGATAAATAAGATTCTAAATTTTGCAGTGTTTTTGTGTGCTAAATTTTATTATGAATATAAGAACATCGGCAGCTTTCTGTATTACCATGTCCTAAGTAAACATTCTTAGGGGTGTTCATTTGTGTGTTTTCAGAGAATAAATATTTGTCTATTAAGTAGAAATATTCAAATTATTATACAAAAGTATACAATATAAGGAATATTTCCTCAGCATTAATCTTTTTTCTTTTTGTCCTACTTTTTTCTTTTGGTTTTTTGTTTGTTTTTGATTTTTTTGTTTAGAGACAGGATCTCCCAGTAGCCCCAGCTCACTGGGAACTATGAAGACCAGCTAGCCTTGATCTCACAGAGATCCACCTGCCTCTGTCTCCTGAGTGCTGGGATTAAAGGCATGCACCGCTACACCCAGCCCTCTCAGCATTGATCTTGAACAAAATAAAACCATTAGTAGAAGATCATAAATGGAATTCTACTTTAGATCTCTGCCAGGCTGTCCTGAGAATACATTTGTTACAGACCGTCATTTCTCATTGACTCTTAATTGACCACCTTGGTAATAAGAAGAGCCAGGCATCTTTATAGTTGCAGACCCTCAGTGTTTGAACTGAGTAAATGGCACATGTGCTGAGCTGTGGTATTTTCACAGCTGCTGCTTTAAGTGGAAGTATCACAAGATCACACCTGTTCTTGCTCTAGCTTTGTACCTCTTTCCCCCTTCGGCTCAAAAAGGTTATTTTATTTAAAACGTTATACATTTTACTCTTAATGGGACAATTATATTTGCTTTCAAAATCTGTTATAGCTTAAGTATCTCAATATTTAATCCATTTAGTAATTCTATAATATTGAAAAGAGTATGAAAGAAAGTATTTTGTGTGTATTAAATGTCTTTTTACTGTTTTCCCTCTGCCTTTTAGAGCTTGAGTCTGTTGATGAAGGATTGCTACAGTTCTGTGCAAATAAACTGAAATTGCTACATCTTTATGAATCTGTCATCCAATTAAATTCCCTTGATTTTCATTCAGACACACTGTTCTCTGATAATGTGAGTAATCATATTTTATTATTATGTGCAATAATTGCATTGATTATATTTAATTTTTAAAATTTTTAGTAAACAATAGAAAATTAAAATTTTTTCGAACTTAAAGGTATATTTTCTGTATAGACCTCCTGACTTTCTAGCCCTTGCTGATAAATTTATATGAATTTCAATGTTAATTCATCTGTATTAGACTTATTTGATTTTTCTCAACACTTTTAAAAAAATTTATTTATTTTTATTTTACATGTACGAGTGTATTGCCTGCATGTATGTAAGTGCACCCATGTTGTGCAGTGCCCACACAAGCCAGAAGAAGGCATCAGATCCCCTGGTACTGGAGTTATGGATGGTTGTTATGCGCCATGTGGGTGCTAGGAATTTTACCTGGGTCCTCTGCAAGAGCAGCCAGTGCTCTTAACCACTGAGTTATCTCTCCAGTCCCTTGACCCTTTTTTTTTTTTTAATTTTATTTATTTATTTTTTTAATTAAAAGAAGCATTTCATTCTGCATGTAGGTAAGTGCACCCGTGTTGTGCAATGCCAGCGGAGTTCAGAAGAGGCTGGGCTGCTGGATCCCCTGGGACTGTACTTACAGACTGTTGTTAGCTGCCATGTGGGGCTTGGATTCGAACTTGGGTCTTCTGCATGAACA